TAGGAAGATGAACTCCGTGATCCGTCCCTCCGACGAGCAAGTCATGGATGTCGTCCCACATAGTTCCGTATTAATTGGAACATTAGGTTCGTTCCGTAGAGAGCGCCTGCTTTCCAATCTAGTGGCAGGGTAAAAGGGTTCGGGTCACTCGGTTCCTCTATTTTCCACTACCTAAGATGGCGTCCGGTCTTTAGCAGCAGTGTCAGGTCAAACGAGGTCATAGTGTGGACCTAACCGTGGCGAGCATTGCGGCAGGCCAAACTTTCGCTACTAAACCCTGCAGATGAGCTGGAATTTCGCGACTGAATGGTGGGGGTCAGAGTTCAAGCAACAATCCTTGCCTGGCATGGGGTCTGACACCGTACCAAAATGTTGAGGCAAATTGAACAGACTAATTGAGAGGGATTTTAACGAGCAGCCGCAGCCGGCGAAGGTGGGCAACTGAGAAGCACTCTCGTGGAAAAATAAGTGTTGCACCACTGTCATATAGCGTGGTTTTACTTGCAATCTTACAATCATCAGTGATTGAAACGAGCCAGGGTATACTTTCCCTGCAGAGATCCGCATACATGCGGCCCAATGCATCCCGCCCTAAATCACGAAGCTCGTCAAATCTCCGGCCGGCTGAGATTTGACGGGCTGCACTGGCTGCAGTGATTTGGTGGGTCCCGGCTCAGCAGCTGTGACATGCTGTCTTTCGTGACGGGCATTGACATACTCTTCGTAACAGAAGTTGACATGCGTTTCGTGACAGGCGATGACATGTCTTTTGTGACAGATGTTGACATGTTTTTCGTGACAGGCGTTGGCACGTCTTTTGTGACAGGCATTGACATGCTTTTCACGATAGGTGTTGATATGCGTTCCGTGACAGGTGTTGACATGCGTTTCGTGACAGGTGTCGACATGTCTTTCGTGACGGGCGTGCAGCGATGTTATGGCCTGTCACAGCTGCTGAATCGGGACCTACCAAATCATGCCCACTGACGCTCATATGCAGCAGAAACCGGCGCACGGAATCGATGCCGTGGAATTAAAATCAACGAGACTTTCAACCAATCGTAGAACTCGTCCAATGGACCAATCACCGAGGAGCCGAAACTTTCCCCAAGCGTTTTCGCCAGTTCCAACTCACACGGTAAAAAAACAAGCCAAGGTTTTATATTTAAGAGAATGGCTCATATTTTAAGATATAGAAGCACCAGATATGACAAAACAGCTCGTTTAAGCTATTGTTATATCTTTTAAGTGGAAAAAGCTGCTCTAGACAACACAATTCTCTGTTTAGAAATTATTCTCCTCAATACTTCATGGTTTGATTACGTCATCGTACCTTGCACAACACTGATTGAGAGCCAGCTGACGGCCGTTATGTCCGGAAATCGCGCTCACGAACGCCAGATATGAACGTCTCGACAATCGTATTTTCCTCGGCTTTGATCGCCGCACGGCTTATGTAATGGCAAAATCTGAATAACGTTATGACTTCATGAATGCCAATGTGACTGAAATATTTTCCCTGATATACCTTCATTTTCACGGGCGTGTAGTTCAGCAACTAGACGGGCTAGAGGGTCTTAAAAAGGGCAGGATTGTGAACAGCACCAAAAGGTCTTAAGGATAGCTGTTTCAGTTCAAAACCTTATATAAATGTGGAATACTCTCGTAAATTAGATGATACATATGTAATACAATTTTCGTCACGGAAGTTTAGCGAGTCCACGGAAGACGAGGCAACGGCCTACATCCGGCTGTTACTTCTGCGTGCCACATTAGACACACTTTTTTGTAAACTGGACGGCGCACGTGCGTATGTGATCTGATCGCAATGGCTGCAGAAACACCCTGGCCGCGTCTACACCGCCGGAGAAACACGGCGTTCCAAGATTCATCCAGTAGGATGTGCAGCGCAGGACATGAATTCGTGTCAAAAACATCCTGGCTCTCCCGCGGCTCCCGCACGCAATTCGTCGGCACCAATCCGTTGTCCTTTGATCCCGGAGCTAGGCATATGACCTGCCCAGCCCGTTTGTCAAGCCTGAGGCGCTTAAGTAAATGGGTTGACAGCCCTCCGGTTCGATGCTGATTGGCTGATTTTGGGCAAGGGGAGGGGCAACAGGCAGTGAGTCCCAAGCCGGGGTGCAAAGCATGAACAAAATATTGACGTCCCCGCCACCCAAATGGCCGAATATTGGAACACTGGACGAACATGACCACCTGTGTAGGTGAGACAACTCTATCAAGCCACACAGCGTTCAGCTTGTAGTTGTCGCACACCAGATGACCGAAATACCACTACGCTGTCCACCCCGTCAAATTTATTGGTTGAATGTCCATTCCAACGGTTTGATAACAGCCACCAGAGAACATGTCATTTGGACCAATAAATGACGCAGTCTTTTACACGTTCGACAACCCCAGATTCCGCACAACCAACACGTTGTGTACGCCGAACCGTTCAATCCCCAATATCTCCCCTCCGGGGGAAGCTAACTGACCCCATGCGGGTTTACCAGCAGACCCACAGGCCCCAAAATCTCCGCAAAAACTGCCCGGTTTCAGGCGACGCAAGAAACGATGGGGCGTTCGATAAATGATTCGACTTTGCAACAGCCGTCCTGTCGTTCGATTGTGGGGTGACCGCCGGTTACGCCCCCGGCAGGATCACGAGCAACTTGCCGGCACCGCCACGAAGCCGCCCCCCTTACATCGCCGCCACCGCACGGCACGCGGCTCCAACGCTGGAAGCTCACCACGAGTGGCCCACGAGCCAGACTGGCCACCACCCTGGGACGCCGCCCGAACGCTGCCGCCTTCCGCAGGACGCTTGCGAGCGCGGCTGGCAACAGAGCCAGAACAGACACCACTGTGAGGCCGCGCAGCTAACATGGCACGAGCACAGCGCAAGCCCGGCTGACATGGCACGCGAGCAGCGCAAACCCCGGCTGACATGGCACGCGAGCAGCGCAAACCCCGGCCGGAGGCCCTCGCCCCCGGGCCCGTGACCCGGCTTCTGATCCCGGCTCCGTAGCCCCCAAAGCGGTGTGGCTCGGCTGACCCCTGCAGCGGCGGGCCGCCACACGGGCAGACCCTGCTCGGTCGTCCTCCTCCGCGCGGCGGCGGTGTCTCGCCGCCGACGCCGGCTGAGCTGCAGCTCGCGGTCGGCGGGACGCTGCCGACGCCGGCGGCGCGCGCGGCCCGCGGCCGTTCCGTTGCTGACGCGTCGGCATCCTCCTGAGGGCCGGTCGGCGGGCGCCGGCGGCGTGCCGGCCAGCCAGCGTGGCGCAGAGGTTGTCACGGCGGTGACACGGCCGCCAGGTCACGGATTGCCCTGGCTGCTGTGCTGCCGCTGCTGCTCGATCAGCCGCTCCAGCGGCGACGGACCGGCGGACGGCCACAGCGACTGGTGACGGAGGAGCCGCCGATCAGCGGCGGACGTCACCGTGAGACACACAACACGACTGGTGACGGAGGAGCCGCCCTCAGCGGCAGAAGTCACCGTGAGACACACAACAGAACTGATGACGGAGGAGCCGCCCTCAGCGGCGGGCGTCACCGCGCGACACACAACACGACTAGTGACGGAGGAGCCGCCGATCAGCGCTGGACGTCACCGTGCGACACACAACACGACTGGTGACGGAGGAGCCGCCCTCAGCGGCCGACGTCACCACGCGACACACAACACGACTGGTGACGGAGGAGTCGCCCTCAGCGGCGGGCGTCATCGGGCGACACACAACACAGGGCATGGTGATGGGCAACACCAGTGGAAGCCTGTCGGTGCTTTTAGTCAGCCATTACAGCGCTTCCCAAGCAGTCGTTGGCCAGCTGCACGGCTGTTTTCACGCGACATAAAGCTCTTTTGCGGTCTTAGCATGGAACGTTAGTGAACTGGGTTACGCCCATTGAAATCAGACGAGTAAAACTGGACAATGGGCGGCCACAGTCGGAGTAAATCTTCGTGCGGTTTTTAAGGCCATTAATTCCGGTCACTGATCCTCTACATATGTAGACGACCAGTAACGGCTGACAGTGACGGCCTGCACAGCGCAGTTGACGCAATCCCTTCGCGCATCCTCTTCACTACGTTCCCAAGCTCACTAACTGTACCTCGACATGGATATCTGCTGCCATGAGGCGCGCTCACCCACCTGCTGCTGCATGCTGGACGAGGGGAAGAGCGAGTAGGCGGCGCCGCGGGACGTTATCTCGGGCGCCGGCGCGCTGGGGAACAGCGAGTAGACGCCCAGTTCGTCGGGGCGCCGGCCGACCGGGTCTGGCGCCGCGCCGCGGCACTGGCTCAGCATGGCCGCCAGCGGGTTGGTGGGCGGCGCCGGCCCGGCCGGCCAGCCGCCCCACAGCGGCTTCAGCGGGTCGTACAGCGGAGGCCGCGGTGGCGGCGGCTGCGGCTCGGCCGCCGCCCACGGCTGCGCCCCCGCCCAGCCTGGCGGCGGCACGCACGGGTTGAAGTGCGGCGGCGCCTCCTCGAGGGGGTGGCGTGCGCGCGGCGGCGGCCAGGCGGCGCCGGCGCCGGCGGCGGGCCCGGCAGCCGGCGCGGCTCCGTCAGCCGGGGCGGACGCGGCTCGGTCGCAGGCGGTGCCGGCCGCGGCGCCGGCGGCGACGGCGCCGGCGGAGACGGCGTCCGGAACGTCACCTGTGTGGGCGCGACCGGCGTCACTGGCGGGCGCGGCACCCCCACCCGCCACAAGCACACAGACGCCGCGCACATGGGATCCCCGATGAATGGCGGGAGCAGACCGAGACGACAGGATAGCACGCAAGGATATTATTTTCATCAACGAGCGGTGTGTACAAGCTCTATGACACACACAAAACAACGTGTACTGTTACAGTGGCCACGCCGCACCATCTCCGCTGCAGCCCATAGAGCGTCCGACGGACTGCTGTGTCACCACCAGCCAGACTGAGCGGCCTGGCGCTGGCCCAGCCCGGCCGGCAGCCCCGTGGCGCCGCCGGCGCCGGCCGCTCACCTGGCGACCCTCCCTGAGTCGCGCCTCCTCGGCCGGCGCTGGCACGCGCGGGCCCGACTTCATCAGAGCCTGCAGCGCCACGTTCTGTCGGCGGCGCCCCGCGGACGACGCCTGCCGGATCACGCGGGGGCGTCGGCTCACACGCCTCCAGACAGCCGTCCGGAGCAGCGGCAGCGTCCGGCGCTCGGCCAGCTACAGCTCGTGTCGGCAGCGCCGAGCGTACTTTACACTGGCCGTAACTCATGACCACAAACTATACGAATAATCATGTCGCCAACTAACTAGCACCAGGGGCCCATAGCACTCAGTGCCGTTAGGACGGCTGTTCCATTGAAATGAATTAAGGGCAAACATTGATGCATGCATTGACTCCGCAGATTGCAACTCAATATGACGAAGCCCCAAAATCACTCTCCTCGTGCGCCAAGACTAACACTGCCGGAGCACAGCACGCGGCGGCGGCGGCGGCGGCGGCGAACCCACCTCCGTCTTCAGGATGCCGGTCTTGGCCTCGGCGCGCGCCTGCGGGCCGGCCGCCGGCTCGCCGCCCGGCGACAGGACCGGCTCCGGCATTGGACACGAGCCCAGGCCGATCTCGGGGCTGACCACGCTCGGCCTGCGGACGCCGGCAGGAGGTCAGCAGAGAGGCGGCGCCATCAGGGCGGCCGCTGCCGCACCAGCGACGGGAAAACGCCAGACACTGAAGATGAACTTGGAAAGAGCTACATCTGGACCCAAGGCCGAGGCCACACAGAACATTGGTTAAAAACGCAAACGGCCTTGGTAAGGCTAGCCTACAGCGCGTCGCACCAACGCCCCTGATGCCTGCATTTTATTGCACTGTTATACTTTCAATAGACCATGGTCATGATCATAATGATGAACAATAGTAAATTAAAAAATTATAGTAAATATAATAGACATAGCCATAGCCATTTTAATAGACCATAGACACATCACGTATTCTTCCCATGCTTCCCAATGGCGGCACTATGTCAGTGATATGCCGGCAGTCCTGCCGCACGGCGGCCTGTCCGCCTCCGCCGTCGCCCGCCACTGACCGTGTCGGGTCGCGGCCGTCCGTCTCGACCTGCTGCTGCAGCTGGGCGAGCACGAGGCCCGGCTCGGCGCGGTAGCCGCTCTGCAGCGGCTGGGCCGGCCCGGCGCTCCAGACCACGCCGTGGCGCGCCAGCCGCTGGCAGGCGGCGCGCAGCCGGCCGGCGCGCACAGCTGGCTGCGCGGCGGCCGACGGCGGCGGCCGCGCCAGCTTCAGGCCGCGCTGGGCGCCCGCCAGCGGCAGGAAGCCAGCCAGGATCCAGGTCCTCCGGCAGCGGCCGGTTCGAGTCGGCTGCAGGACGGCGGCGGCGGGTCATGGACCGGCGCCGCGGGCCTCGGGCTGGCATGGACGGGGAAGGTGGGCACGCAGCGGGCACAAGGTCAGGCCAGACCGTAGTATGGCGCACGGACCGGACAGGGTCGAGATGCCTGCCGCACAGCTGGGTTTCGCTCGAGGTCGATAAATATCGAGGGACGTCCTTTCCATCCATCTCGACCAATTTGCCCGGGCAATGCGCACAACAAAACAAACACTTCTACATTTTCAGAAATAGTCAGAGGGATCAAATGCAAAATAGACATACCATAGTGTTGACAGTCATAATCCCCACTGCATGGTCAATTTCATGAAATTCATGCTCGAATTAATGTATATCAGCCACTAATGAAAACCCGCCGCTCTTAGAAATGCGGGCATCGTGGCGTGCACACTCACGAGCTGTTAAGCATCCAAATCGTGAAAAACTACACCTTTTCATACTTGCCACCGACCCATGAGACGCACGGCTACACCATCCATAGCACTGTGGTTCGTAACTGTGCACGGCACACCAGCCCGATAGGCGAGCTGGAGCGCGGCAGTACCGGCTTCAGTGATCATCTCGGCGGTGACTTCCATGCTGTTCACCAGGTGGCAGAGGTGTGCCCACAGCTGCGGCCGCGTCGAGAACGGCTCCATGGACAGCGCCTGGGGCGACTCGGCCAGCCAGCACACGTACAGCCGCACTGAAAACCACCGCAGGCAATTGTGACCTGGCTGGCGATGTTCCTCACACTCAGAACACGCATGGTAAGGCCGGAAGCTACCAAAGGAGTCCCCCGGCCCAGCCAACTATCACCCACCTGTCCGATACCGTACATCACAAGCAATGAATCGCGGTCAAATCCCAGCGCTAGCTCCCTGCCTGTCTGCCTGCTGCTGACTACTGACCGACGGGAAGCAGGGGCCACTGCCGCCGCCGCTCGGCGTCCGGCAGCCGGTACGAGCAGCGCAGCAGGGCGTCCAGGGCGGCGGCGGCCGGCTCGAGCGCGGCGGCGGCGGCGCGCCGCTCCGGCTCGCTCAGCCGCTCCGTCTGCAGCGGCGAGGCGCCGTCCGGCCGGCCAGACGCCGCCAGCGCCGACTGCACGTTGATCGCCAGCATCTGGAGGCGGCGACGCGGCGTTACTGGCGGGCGGCGCTGCTCGCGTGAGGTCCGCTGACAACGGCATGCCAGCACCGCAGGGCCGTCGGCATGGCGTTCGATGGGGCACCAGGTCACGCGACACGTCGTCCATTTCATGGCCAGGCCTTCAAATACGCAACTTGGAGGAAGGCACACTGTGCTTTTCCTGTTTGAAAATTACAGGGAACTCTCGAGCTTAGCACAGCAATATCAAGTACATCCCGTATTAAATGCATAATTTTGACTTTCTTATTCAGATCGCAAAGTGCAAAAATTTTAAGTTCAGGGTCAGCACAGAGCACAACTACACGAGGCACCCCGATTGACATGCCTAGTCCTGCACTGGGTTGATGGCCTTTACGCTATTTTGACGCTACTTTGACGCCCGCGAGCCGATGTCACTATATACCCTCCTCAGCTACCACAATCACTGCAGACGGTCCATGTCCGAAACGTTTGCGTGTGGCACGGCGGCCGTTTCCGCAGCGACCGCCGCGGGCCGTCACACCGTCCCCAGTGCTGCCGCACGCTGACCTGCAGCAGCCTCCAGGGGGACAGGGCGTCCGTGCAGATGAGCCGCGGCAGGCAGCCGGTCAGCGCCACCAGCAGCGGGCGCAGGGCGCGCGGCTCGGCGCGCTGCTGCAGCCGCGCGTGCAGCTGCAGGAACAGTGTGGTGTACTCGGAGGCCGAGAGGCGCGCCTTGCCCTCCAGCGGCGGCCTGTCGACGCCGGGCGGGTCAGCGGGGGCGGCGGCGGCGGAGCGGCAGCACAGAGCGACACGTCCTGGTGGTCCTGGTCGGTGACAACCACCTTAAGCCTAGACCGCTAGGACATCTCATGTATACTGGCCTGACTGAAGCTTACCCTGTGCAGATGCACTAACTTGTCCGCAAAATGTGCCACCAGAACCGATGACAAAATTACTTGCACCGCCCCCAATCGCCATCTCCAGTACGAAAGCGTGCAATGTCATCACAGGTAACTGGGTATGTAGATACGAAATGTAATAAACCACTCCATTCGTCAACACACTCCCCCAACAGACTTCCGACCAGAAGCATATACAGAATCATCACAAAGTGATTACGCCGCCTCGGCGGCGGCTGTTTGTACCGGGCGCCATAACATGAGGACACTGTCCAGCAGCATACCGCTTGCCAGCATCTCCTCCCTCCTCTCTCTTTAAACCTTCCCTGAGCGACCAAGTGGGAGTAGAGCTTACTCAGGTTGGTGGTGGTCCGGAGGGGAGCTGACTCTCACCCCTGGTGATGCCAGGCGGCAGTAGAGCTTACTTAGGTTGGTGGTGGTCCGGAGGGGAGCTGACACTCAACCCTGTGACGCCAGGCGGCAGTAGAGCTTACTCAGGTTGTGGTGGGTCCGGAGGGAGCTGACAACTCACCCCTGTGACAACCAGGCGGCAAGTAGAGCTTACTCAGGTTGGTGGTGGTCAGGAGGGAGCTGACACTCACCCCTGTGACGCCAGGCGGCAGTAGAGCTTACTCAGGTTGGTGGTGGTCCGGAGGGAGCTGACTCTCACCCCTGTGACACCAGGCGGCAGTAGAGCTTACTCAGGTTGGTGGTGGTCCGGAGGGAGCTGACTCTCACCCCTGTGACGCCAGGCGGCAGTAGAGCTTACTCAGGTTGGTGGTGGTCCGGAGGGAGCTGACACTCACCCCTGTGACACCAGGCGGCAGTAGAGCTTCTCAGGTTGGTGGTGGTCCGGAGGGAACTGACTCTCACCCCTGTGACACCAGGCGGCGTAGAGCGTACTCAGGTTGGTGGTGCCGGAGGGAGCTGACTCTCACCCCTGTGACACCAGGCGGCAGTAGAGCTTACTCAGGTTGGTGGTGGTCCGGAGGGGAGCTGACACTCACCCCTGTGACGCCAGGCGGCAGTAGAGCTTACTCAGGTTGTGGTGGTCCGGAGGGAGCTGACTCTCACCCCTGTGACACCAGGCGGCAGTAGAGCTTACTCAGGTTGGTGGGGTCCGGAGGGAGCTGACTCTCACCCCTGTGACGCCAGGCGGCAGTAGAGCTACTCAGGTTGGTGGTGGTCCGGAGGGAGCTGACACTCACCCCTGTGACCAGGCGCAGCTGGCAGTAGAGCTTACTCAGGTTGGTGGTGGTCCGGAGGGGAGCTGACTCTCCCCCTGTGACACAGGCGGCAGTAGAGCTTACTCAGGTTGGTGGTGGTCCGGAGGGAGCTGACACTCACCCCTGTGACGCCAGGCGGCAGTAGAGCTTACTCAGGTTGGTGGTGGTCGGAGGGAGCTGACACTCACCCCTGTGACACCAGGCGGCAGTAGAGCTTACTCAGGTTGGTGGTGGTCCGGAGGGAGCTGACACTCACCCTGGACACAGGCGGCAGTAGAGCTTACTCAGGTTGGTGGTGGTCCGGAGGGAGCTGACTCTCACCCCTGTGACACCAGGCGGCAGTAGAGCTTACTCAGGTTGGTGTGGTCCGGAGGGAGCTGACTCTCACCCCTGTGACACCAGGCGGCAGTAGAGCTTACTCAGGTTGGTGGTGGTCCGGAGGGAGCTGACTCTCACCCCTGTGACGCCAGGCGGCAGTAGAGCTTGCTTAGGTTGGTGGTGGCCGCCGGGAAGGATTGCGCACGGCGATACTGCGCACGTAGTAATAGACGGGCGAGATGCGGTCCCGTGCTGCGCCTCAAGCAGAGCCAGCTGGTTGTATGGCTGGCCACTGGACGGCACCAGTTCACCGCGTGTCTGGCGGCCAACAGACAGCCAGCAGCAGTTAGCGCTTTGTTGCCTACAATGGACATTAGACAACGGATGTTGCACAGCTCCAGCGAAGAAAACCAGAGCCAATCGCTGGCATGGGTTCTGGTCGTGCAGGTTTTTGTGGCCGCGAATGGACGTTCGTGAATCAACACTACCTGAGCACACTGCAACACATAGCAGTATAATGACCATCCCCATGTAATGAAACAATTTTGAATGGGGGTATTTTGACAGTTTTTGAAAGGGAAAACTGTAACAGTAACATATCTCCCAACAGTCGGCACAGCACGAAGTACGCACAATTAATTCACGAAGTACGCAAACGACGCAACCAAGCCTCTGGCAACACTGACAGTAAGTTTCCAGTGGGGCAAACCACAGAGCGCCGACCGAGAGGCTCTGGCCGGGCCGACCCTCTCACCGTAGAAGGACTCTGCCTGCTTGACCTTGGGGGCCGCGGTGACCGGGCCACGTCACCCATGGCACCGGCAGTCCTGGCACCACGTAACAGCAGGTCTGCGCTGGGCGGCGCCGCCGCCGGCGCCCCCCGGGGTTTCTCGATCGCCCCAGCGAGCCGAACAGCACGGTCCTCCTTCCTGGTTGGTGACAGCATGCAGCTGTCAGTGACAAGACATGAAAAGACGTACTCTCTACCTTATTTGGATTGAAGCATACATCCAGCTCAATATACCATACACCTAAGCTTTGCGGGTGAAAACTGCAGAAATGCCCCAAAAATGAGATTAATGTGAACAACAACAAATTTTGAGTGAAAACAGCAGCCGTAGCTAAGCTACTTTAGTATCTTGCAGGTCTAAGCCACTTTACCATCTTGGTCTGAGCCTTGATTGAGCACCTGAATCTGATCCAAACAGAATAATTAAATACTGTTGTGTTAACATAGCTATGTGAGCTTGGTGACATTTGGCAATAGCACGGCATCACAGGTGCACTGGCAGAATCTGCAGCTGCTCTGACATACCTTCGGAATGGAAGATCAATATCATAAGTTTGGCAAAGCTGATTCAACATCATGGTGTAGAATCCCAGAGCCGAATCCAGGAAGAGCTGCAGGGTGACCTGCCAATCCTTCTGCTTGGCACCATTCTGTAGCATGCCAGAACAAAAACCTATATGTTGACACCTTGAAACAACTCTTCATCCACCCAAACCAATCCCAGATGCTAAGTACCAGGCAGTAAATATGCCTTCCAACCCTAAAACAAGTAAGCATCCCAAAACCAAGAGCTATGAGTACATAACCAGTGTCATTTGTCAGCCAAACATAGCAGCAAGAGTTGAGACTGACACAGCACATGCAGACCTTTTTATCCTTGGCATTGGCCTGCATCAGGGTGATCTGGTTCTTAAAGCACATATTCCAGAGGTCCTGCTCTGCCTTGTGATCCAGGGCATACTCCAGGTCAGCCAGCAGCAGCTTCTTCAAGGCAGTCTGCAGTTCATGGTGAATGGCAGCTGTCTGTTGGTCTCCCTCAATGCACCTGGTACTGCCTAAAGAGCTCTTCAACTGCTCTATGTTCCTGGGGTGGAGACAGGTATTGACAATTGTGCATGGCCACCATCCTTAAAACACCCACAAAGTAGGCAGCCTGAACATAAAACAAGGACACAACTCAATGATCTTACATGGTATGATGTTTAGCATCCTGCTTCTGTGCAATATGCTACCTTCCCTATCCCAGGTCTTATGTTGATCGCAAAATGTTTTGGAAGCAACAGCAGAACACTTAAGATTTATAGTCCTTTAACACAGTCTCCATCTGGAAATGGTCAATATTTCAACTAAAAAAACTATGATTATATTTGTAACCAACCCATCCCATGGTGAAATGCATCCTTCAGGCACTCATTGCATATTCACATGATGTTCCACATGATCAAGATGCATTTGATCCAAATAAAGCACTTATGAAGCTCTTCAAGGGCAAAACACATTAGCAACCCCAAAAACATGGATTATCCACAGCTTACAATACAGATGTTTTAGGGCATAGTGAATGGGGCATGGGGCATGAGTTTTAGGGCATAGTGAATCATTGATGTCT